CTTTCTTTGCAGCGTATAGATTTGCTTCTTCCTGAGCTTTACCAATATTCTTCTTGTATCGTATACGTTTATTGTCAAACCAATTAGAAACTTGTGACACTTACATGAAAAAAATCAAAAAATTTAAGATATTAGTATATTACTAAACTATTATTTTAGTCTGAAATACTTACTGTTATACCGCATTTACGTGCCAATTCTTCTTTGGCTTCCTCGAATGGATAAGGATTGCTCAAGTGACTATAGAAATATTCGTTTAAGATTTCCGACGCTTGCTTACTGGAATTGCTTGATGCAAGGTGGGATCATATCTACCCATGCTGTTGTCGTAGGGCTGTTGTTGATCATAACCGCCAGATCCCATGGAATAACCCATAGAATCTTGAGGTGGTGCTGGTGACATCATTGGAGCAGTTGTACCACTATTGGGCCGGCCATTGAATATGGTGAGGCTCCAGCTGCTTTCTTTGCAGCGTTTAGATTTGCTTCTTCCTGAGCTTTACCAATATTCTTCTTGTATCGTATACGTTTATTGCCAAACCAATTAGAAACTTGTGACACCTACATGAAAATAATCAAAAAATTTAAGATATTATTATATTACTAAATTATTATTTTAGTCTGAAATACTTACTGTTATACCGCATTTACGTGCCAATTCTTCTTTGGCACGTTTACTCCAAGCATTAAACTCTTAGTACTTGTTATCAAAGTAACGCTCTCAAGGACTGAGGTCTTGATGCAAGGTGGGATCATATCCATCCATGCTGTTGTCGTACGGCTGTTGTTGATCATAACCGCCAGATCCCATGGAATAACCCATAGAATCTTGAGGTGGTGCTGGTGACATCATTGGAGTAGTTGTACCACTAGGTGGGCCGGCCATTGAATATGGTGAGGCTCCAGCTGCTTTCTTTGCAGCGTATAGATTTGCTTCTTCCTGAGCTTTACCAATATTCTTCTTGTATCGTATACGTTTATTGCCAAACGTTTATTGCTGGTGACATCATTGGAGTAGTTGTACCACTAGGTGGGCCGCCCATTGAATATGGTTTGGCGCCAGCTGCTTTCTTTGCAGCGTATAGATTTGCTTCTTCCTGAGCTTTACCAATATTCTTCTTGTATCGTATACGTTTATTGCCAAACGTTTATTGCTGGTGACATCATTGGAGTAGTTGTACCACTGGGTGGGCCGGCCATTGAATATGGTTTGGCTCCAGCTGCTTTCTTTGCAGCGTATAGATTTGCTTCTTCCTGAGCTTTACCAATATTCTTCTTGTATCGTATACGTTTATTGCCAAACGTTTATTGCTGGTGACATCATTGGAGTAGTTGTACCACTAGGTGGGCCGGCCATTGAATATGGTTTGGCGCCAGCTGCTTTCTTTGCAGCGTATAGATTTGCTTCTTCCTGAGCTTTACCAATATTCTTCTTGTATCGTATACGTTTATTGCCAAACGTTTATTGCTGGTGACATCATTGGAGTAGTTGTACCACTGGGTGGGCCGGCCATTGAATATGGTTTGGCTCCAGCTGCTTTCTTTGCAGCGTATAGATTTGCTTCTTCCTGAGCTTTACCAATATTCTTCTTGTATCGTATACGTTTATTGCCAAACGTTTATTGCTGGTGACATCATTGGAGTAGTTGTACCACTAGGTGGGCCGGCCATTGAATATGGTTTGGCTCCAGCTGCTTTCTTTGCAGCGTATAGATTTGCTTCTTCCCGAGCTTTACCAATATTCTTCTTGTATCGTATACGTTTATTGCCAAACCAATTAGAAACTTGTGACACCTACATGAAAAAAATCAAAAAATTTAAGATATTAGTATATTACTAAACTATTATTTTAGTCTGAAATACTTACTGTTATACCGCATTTACGTGCTAATTCTTCTTTGGCACGTTTACTCCAAGCATTAAACTCTTAATATTTGTTATCAAAGTAACGCCCTCAAGGACTGAGGTCTTGATGCAAGGTGGGATCATATCTACCCATGCTGTTGTCGTAGGGCTGTTGTTGATCATAACCGCCAGATCCCATGGAATAACCCATAGAATCTTGAGGTGGTGCTGGTGACATCATTGGAGTAGTTGTACCACTGGGTGGGCCGGCCATTGAATATGGTTTGGCTCCAGCTGCTTTCTTTGCAGCGTATAGATTTGCTTCTTCCTGAGCTTTACCAATATTCTTCTTGTATCGTATACGTTTATTGCCAAACGTTTATTGCTGGTGACATCATTGGAGTAGTTGTACCACTAGGTGGGCCGGCCATTGAATATGGTTTGGCTCCAGCTGCTTTCTTTGCAGCGTATAGATTTGCTTCTTCCCGAGCTTTACCAATATTCTTCTTGTATCGTATACGTTTATTGCCAAACCAATTAGAAACTTGTGACACCTACATGAAAAAAATCAAACAATTTAAGATATTAGTATATTACTAAACTATTATTTTAGTCTGAAATACTTACTGTTATACCGCATTTACGTTCCAATTCTTCTTTGGCACGTTTACTCCAAGCATTAAACTCTTAGTATTTGTTATCAAAGTAACTCCCTCAAGGACTGAGGTCTTGATGCAAGGTGGGATCATATCCACCCATGCTGTTGTCGTAGGGCTATTGTTGATCATAACCGCCAGATCCCATGGAATAACCTATAGAATCTTGAGGTGGTGCTGGTGACATCATTGGAGTAGTTGTACCACTAGGTGGGCCGGCCATTGAATATGGTTTGGCTCCAGCTGCTTTCTGTGCAGCGTATAGATTTGCTCCTTCCTGAGCTTTACCAATATTCTTCTTGTATCGTATACGTTTATTGCCAAACGAATTAGAAACTTGTGACACCTACATGAAAAAAATCAAAAAATTTAAGATATTAGTATATTACTAAACTATTATTTTAGTCTGAAATACTTACTGTTATACCGCATTTACGTGCCAATTCTTCTTTGGCACGTTTACTCCAAGCATTAAACTCTTAGTATTTGTTATCAAAGTAACGCCCTCAAGGACTGAGGTCTTGATGCAAGGTGGGATCATATCCACCCATGCTGTTGTCGTAGGGCTGTTGTTGATCATAACCGCCAGATCCCATGGAATAACCCATAGAATCTTGAGGTGGTGCTGGTGACATCATTGGAGTAGTTGTACCACTAGGTGGGCCGGCCATTGAATATGGTTTGGCTCCAGCTGCTTTCTTTGCAGCGTTTAGATTTGCTTCTTCCTGAGCTTTACCAATATTCTTCTTGTATCGTATACGTTTATTGCCAAACGTTTATTGCTGGTGACATCATTGGAGTAGTTGTACCACTGGGTGGGCCGGCCATTGAATATGGTTTGGCTCCAGCTGCTTTCTTTGCAGCGTATAGATTTGCTTCTTCCTGAGCTTTACCAATATTCTTCTTGTATCGTATACGTTTATTGCCAAATGTTTATTGCTGGTGACATCATTGGAGTAGTTGTACCACTAGGTGGGCCGGCCATTGAATATGGTTTGGCTCCAGCTGCTTTCTTTGCAGCGTATAGATTTGCTTCTTCCCGAGCTTTACCAATATTCTTCTTGTATCGTATACGTTTATTGCCAAACCAATTAGAAACTTGTGACACTTACATGAAAAAAATCAAAAAATTTAAGATATTAGTATATTACTAAACTATTATTTTAGTCTGAAATACTTACTGTTATACCGCATTTACGTGCCAATTCTTCTTTGGCTTCCTCGAATGGATAAGGATTGCTCAAGTGACTATAGAAATATTCGTTTAAGATTTCCGACGCTTGCTTACTGGAATTGCTTGATGCAAGGTGGGATCATATCTACCCATGCTGTTGTCGTAGGGCTGTTATTGATCATAACCGCCAGATCCCATGGAATAACCCATAGAATCTTGAGGTGGTGCTGGTGACATCATTGGAGCAGTTGTACCACTAGGTGGGCCGGCCATTGAATATGGTGAGGCTCCAGCTGCTTTCTTTGCAGCGTTTAGATTTGCTTCTTCCTGAGTTTTACCAATATTCTTCTTGTATCGTATACGTTTATTGTCAAACCAATTAGAAACTTGTGACACTTACATGAAAAAAATCAAAAAATTTAAGATATTAGTATATTACTAAACTATTATTTTAGTCTGAAATACTTACTGTTATACCGCATTTACGTGCCAATTCTTCTTTGGCACGTTTACTCCAAGCATTAAACTCTTAGTATTTGTTATCAAAGTAACGCCCTCAAGGACTGAGGTCTTGATGCAAGGTGGGATCATATCCACCCATGCTGTTGTCGTAGGGCTGTTGTTGATCATAACCGCCAGATCCCATGGAATAACCCATAGAAT